CTGATCCATCCTGGAGCCCAGGGCTGGGGGGAAAGGATCCCTGATCCATCCTGGAGCCCAGGGCTGGGGGGCTCAGCTGCCTCTCCCTGGGCTGCTCCCGGGCTCGGGGAACCTCAGCTCCAGCACCTGGAGCAGCTCCTGCCCCTCCTGCCCTGCCCTGGGGCTTTGCAGAGCTGCTCCTCTCACAAATCCTCCCTGCTCCCACCAGCTGCAATTCCAGGGGGATTTCCTCCCCCTTCCCAAGTGTTCCCAGAGGTGTTGCCACTGTCAGTGCTGGGCCCAGCCTTGGCCAGGGGTGGGTCTGTCCTGGAGCTCGCTGGAATTGGCTCTGCTGGACACAGGGGAAGCTTCTGGCAGGTTCTCACAGAGCCGCCAGCACCAAAACCTGGCCGTGCCAGCCCATTGCAAGTGAGCTCCCCGATTTGACCTTTAGCTTATGCTTCTGCCAGTCTGTGATCCCAGTTTCTCTTTGTTAAACAGTGCCATTGATTGTTGATGGCATCATAGCATGGGCTGTTGAGTTTATAAGAAGCCTTCTACATTAATAATTGGAAATTAAATTGAATTTCATTTCAGATTTTGCAAATCTGGACTTAAAGATTTTAATCAAAACTTAAAGATCTTATGAAAATTGAGTTTTGCGTAACACTTAGTGAAGCCATGTATTTGAAGATGTAAAGAGGAGTTACAATTTGTATTGTGAAAAACTTGGCTTTTGTGTTAGTGCTTGTTCCAATGTTACTGGAGCATTTTCTTCTTTTTGGTTGATAGTGGCCAAGTTTATTGACAGGAATGATCATGAAGAACGTGTGGAACTTTTCAAAAGTGAGCTCTATTGCAGAACCTATGCTGCTGGTACATGGAGTGTTGGTAGGCAGGTGGTTTTGTAGTACAAAATACAAGTGTAGCCCAAACCTGCTCCCAAGGATTTGCATACTAAACTCTGACAGTTTGACTTCATTTGATAAATCTGTGAATATACAATGCAGTCTCTAAAGTTGGCACAGTCCTGCCTTGGCAGTGACAAATAATCTTTGGTTATTTTGATTGTTTTCTCCATATTCAAGTGACTTGCTTTTTCAAATGCAGCCTTGTGTATTCCTTGTACAGAGACAGCTTGTTTATGCACAGCAGGTAGAGTGGATTCTTTCCCAAGATTTGCCCAGAGCTCTAGGGAGAAGGAGGCAGGGATGTTGTCGAAGAAGAGAATTTATAGAACACAGGGTTTTCCTGCACTGAACAATTCCAGTGTGCTCTGACTGCCTAAGTGGAAGTGATTTGTTGCACCCTGAAATCAGAGTCACATGTGTTACCTGTGTGACTTGGGCAGGCAGAGCAAACCTTGGGACACCCCTCCTGCCAGGCTGTCCCTCCTGAAATCCTCCTTTCCTCTGTAGCACTGTGCTGGGCTCCCTGTTCTGAGCTGTGTGGACAGAGCCAGCTCAGGTCTGTGTGCACACGCAGCCTCCAGTGTCCCCTGGGCATCAGCACAGCCTGCTGACTGCTCTTCATGGTCTGCCTTCCCACCTGTCAGTGCCTGAGCACAGGGCAAGAGGCTCTCCAGTGTTACTTCCCTCTATTTAGGGAGTATAAAAATAATCTGATTTATCTAATGAAAAATAATAGATTTGAAAATATATTTCTTTTGAGCTCTTCCGGTAATTTCAGAATTTAATAGCATCCTACCAAACCTCAGCAGCTTTTCTTCAAGGAACATCATGAGTTCTTTTAGATTCTTGCAGTAGGAACTTGACACACTGGGTTATGATTTTTTGTTAAAATAATGTTGATAATTTTTGTTTTCTCATTTCTCATGAGATCTGTTTACAAACTTCCTTCATAGAAAACACAGCTTTTTCTTTCTAAATCATTTTTATCAGTTCTCAAAGCATTCATGCTAGGAATCCTTTGAGTGTCTTCTGGCAACTTGTAGCTGTCACTTGTAGATAATTTCCATGATATTTTATAATTTCTTCAGGCTAGTTCCTTGTTGTGTTTCTCATCCCTTCATTTCAGACTTACCTTTTTTACCCTTCTAAATTTTGGAACCACATTAATAAATCAGTGCATTACTTTATTTGCAGTTCTCTGGTGGTAAGGGATTTCTTCATATCCAGCCCTTTAGTGGATTTTACTGCCATTTTATATTAAAGGCTTTTGTCACTATTGATTTTTAAAACCAAGTGTGAATTTAGTTTTCAAGTTTCACAGTTTGCTGCTGAGGTCTGGCACATGGGAATACATTCTTAGTTGGGCACTACAATAGTGAAAATTTATATTTTAATTATGTGCAGTTTTATTTTCAAGTATGTTCCTGTGATGAATAATGAGCATTTATTAGCTGAGAAAAATTCTCTAGCATGCAGTCTCACTCTGTATTTATGGATTTCTGGCTGCAGGTCTTGCCTGGAAGCTAGTAGCTGCCAGAAGTGCCCCTGGTTATCTGCTTTTTTCCTAAATCCTCACTTCTGGAAGCCCAGACTGATAAGGGGCAGGTATCACGGGCATGCTGTGTTCTTACCTGGAAACTGATTATAAGCAAGTGAACAAGATACACAATATTTATATTTCAAATGCAGCACTCATCTGGTAGATATAATTTCATTCAACCAGTATTTTAAAATACTTGTTCATTTTATAATGAAGAAAAGAGGTGTAGGATGTTTAAAACAGGAGAAGCTTTATGTGGTCCTTCTTGAAAAAAACCAGATAATTCTGCCTTTTCATGATGATGCTGTTTGCTGTCTCTAGGCTATCTCAGGATGGAAGGCATCCCTAGTCAAGATTTAAAAAATCTTGCAAGCTATGCAGACAAAAAAAAGGGGTTTGCTCAGATGTCAGGTAGATTTATTTGATTTGTTTTCTTTCCTCCTTTTTTTCCCCCAAGTACAGAAGATTGATATCCAGTAGATGATGTTGCTGGACTGATTTGTAAGGAATCCTTGGGGCTTTGAATGTCTGCCTGGGCTTCTGTTCCTTTTGGAGATATTTTAGAGTACACTAGATGTTCTTTGGAGAAGTATTTTATGTAAGCTTAATAGGCAACGTAGGACTCTAAAATAAGCAGTTCTTTATAAAATATGAATTTTAGAGACATATGAATTAAAATTTAAATCAAGAAAAACTAGTTTTATCTTGTGAGAAGCAACATCAGCCATGATTTATTACTCTATCCACTTAGAAAATTTGTCTTTTTTGAATGTGTGAATGCAAATCTTAATAAATGCAAGTGTCTTAATAAATGCAAGTATTAAGACACCAGTGTGGCCTCCATTTTTAGTAATGTGTAGTTCTCATTTTGTCATAATTGCCATATTGTATGATGCGTTTCATTTATGATGGTATTTACCTTCCTGCAGAATTAAGTAACTTCTCTGGAGACATTTTTTAATTCCTAAATTTTGTCCTTTTGTAGGATGGAAAGAGATTTCAGTCTTGCAATTAAAGTAAATCACAAAATAAGTAATATGGTTGCTAAATAAGATAAATTTCCTGAGCTGTAGAAAGTACTACTGACTGAAAGGCTTTAGGTCAGGCATTTTCCTTTGTCTCCACTTCATATTGCAGTTGCTGTCTGGGTACAGAGTCTGTATTCTATGACAAAGGTTTTCCCAGTGTTTAGATGTCGTTTCTCTGCAAGTTAATTTCTATGTAATTCAATCTGAAATTATTTAAAGAATATTTTTCTGCTTTCTAAATTTTCTGTCCATATTAATTTGCATTTAAAAAAAAGCACTAGAACAGGCCCATAAATGCCAAGAGGACAAGTATGTGTTACTGGCAGTGATAAACTCAAATATCAATGAATATTGACATGTAAATATTACAACTGAATTAATGCATCAATGTAACATCAGTTTTTTTGCAGGTCACATTTGTTTGTTCTAATCTTTTCCATATAGCTGTACGAGTAATAGCTTCTCAGGAGAAATACTGCAAAGCTGTCATTGAACATGAGAAAGCTAATTTTTCCAGTATTTGTGAATATACATATAAAAGCACATTACTAGGTTTGATTTTTTTTTTTTTTCAGTATTAATAATGATTATTCTTGTAATCACTATTATTAAAAAGCCTTGGAGATCAAGTTATTAAGGAGAAAACAAGTAAAATGCTGGTTTTTCCTTTATCAGCAGCCAACGTCCGTGGCCACCTCCAGCGTCCGCCTGGGCCTCCCGGTGCAAGCCAAGGTGGTGCCATCCACGGCGGCGCCCGCCAGCGCCACAGCCACGCTGCCAGGAGGGGCTGTGCTCTCACACACCACGGTCAGGGGCTGGGCACGCTGCCTGGGCTTGGGCTGGGGCAGGGGAGGGAGATTCAGGGTGGGTGCATGGAGGAACTGTGCATGGGCAGGCCCTGGCACAGTGCTCAGAGCAGCTGTGGCTGCCCCTGGATCCCTGGCAGTGCCCAAGGCCAGGCTGGGATGGGCTTGGAGCAGCCTGGGACAGTGGAACTGGATGAGCTTGAAGTTCCTTTCCAACCCAAACCATTGTATGACTTTATGATTTACATGTTTTTTTTGACAGTGAAAATTAATAATTTTTAATATAAAATATTACTAGGTATCAGTAGCTACGACGAGCGCTCCAAATTTGTTGAAGACGACGGTGGCGGGTGGAAGCGCGGGCTCGCAGCAGCCGGCGCTGCTCAGCGGCGCGCAGAGCCAGGGCTCGGGGCAGCCCCGGCTGCCGCTGCCCCCGCACACGGCAGCGCAGGTGCCAGCGCAGCCCCTGGTCATTCCCAGCTCTCCTGTGCCCGGAACCACCGTTGTGTCCCAGGCAAGTGTGACACTAGTGGAAACATGGTTTTCTTAGTGCTTTAGAACTCCTCTGGCAGAGCTTTTTCTTCAGGCAGGCATGTATGCCCTGATGGGATAAATACTTGGCAAACAGGAAAACTCTTTCCCTGGTTTCAGCCAAGTGGGATGCAAATTCTGAGAGGGAGGAAGAACACTTGTGGTCAGCTCTCCCCACCCTGTCATGTATGTGACACTAGTGAAAGAACTATTCTGTTCCTGTAGCCTTCAGTCTATGGACTTCTTGATGATCCTGTTGCTGGGCCTCAAAACTATGGTTACACTGAAGTGTGATGTTTCTGTTTCTGGGACCAGCTATGCCGTATAAAAATAATGGCTTGTTTTGCTACTAATGAGAAAAAGATCAGATACGATGATGTTTGATGACTTATTTCTAATTTGATTTTACTGCTGTAGCTGCTTTGTACAAAAACATACCGAATCAATAATTTAACAAATTAAGATAGCTTGGGGAACATTTGTACATTGTCTGTTGGGCATCTCAAAGGGGAATTCATCTCCAGCAAATTGTCCTGTTACTTCTGATATTTAAGGTTATTAGTACCAAAGCAGACTGTAAAAATATAAAATATATTTCTTTCATTTATTTTCTTTTGTTGTTATTTGCGAGCTATGATGTTCGTTACCTAAAGAAGATAAGAAAATCTCAGGTAACAAGCAGTAATAGCAAAACATATTTCATATGTGGCCTGAATTAGAAAAATTTCATCATTTTCCTTATTTGTAGTGGTCAGAACATGCATTGATTGTGATGGAAAAATAGCATGGAGCTAATATTTGTTTTATTTGGCTTTTTGCAGGAAATGCAAGAGAATGTGAAAAAATGTAAAAACTTTTTAGCTACCCTTATAAAGCTTGCTTCTCATAATTCACCATCTCCAGAAACGTCCCGCAATGTGAAAGCTCTGGTTCAAGATTTGTTGGTAAATACTTAGTTACCGTTTATTTTGTCAGTTACCTATTAAACTTCTTATTTATGAATGCTGAAAACTATTGCTTTGATTTTCACAATTATTTGGCTGTAATGAAAGGGGCTGGGCTTCATCAAAATGCAATATTCTGTATGTTATATATATTTAAAAATCTGTTAGATGCATATTTTCTCTTGGTTTTTGAAAGTGGAAATGTAGCAAAATATTTAGTATCAAAGCCACTCTTGTTTTTATGAGTAATACTTTGCTTTCTCCTTTAGTAAAATAGAGATTTTTCCTTAAGGATTTGTTAAGTTTTTTTTCCTCCAAACCTTGTTCTTTGAAACAAGAAGCTCATAATTTTTCAAGCACAGAACATCGTGGCTCACAACATGGTTTAGAGTTTCTAGGACTGAAGGAAAAGTATTTTCCTGAGCTTCTGATTTTCTGCTGTTCTGAAGGGAGGTGTCCCCGCATGGAGCTTTAGTGGCACAGGGATTTCCAGAGGTTAGAGTTCTCTGGCCAGAAAAAGGCAGGACTGGCTGCAGTCTGCAGTGCAACAGATGCTGCAGTGAATTGTATAAATGAGCTGCAGACAGAGGTTACTGTGGGGTTGGGAAAAGAGTCAAGCTTCTTAAAAGAAATGTAATATAGTCTATGAGAAAATTTGATTTAAAAGGAGTTGCTATACATTCTTTGAATTCATTGCCAGAGAAATCTGTATATTTTAGACAAGCCTAAGGCTTGTGAGCTGTTCAACAATCATATTAAATGATTCCAGTGAAAACCTGTTTTAACTTTTACCAGCTTGAAAAGACTAAATAAAGGTAACTACTTACAGTATTTTAAATGAAGTACCAGTATGCATATATAATAAATATATTTATTGAAGCTTGTTTTGCTTTGGTTTTTCTCTTGTTCTGTATCAGTCAGGAAGGCTAATTAATGTTTTTATTACCATTTGAACTTGTAACTAATGATACTTTAGAAGTATCATAAAATGCACCCAAGTTAGAATTCTCTTGAATTACTACTAAAGAAAAGCCTGATTATGTATTTGATGTAAGTGTGTATTTTGTGAGCATGCATACAAATTCATAGAGGAGAAAATTTTATATCTGCTTATAAGCATGCTTTTTATGTATGGGAATGCTTTGCATATCTAGTTTTATATATATGGATTCTACCAATTAAATTGTACCATCAGAATTGATTTTGGAATTACCACAAAGGCCAATAATTTTCATATTTTTAAGGTCACATCAACAACTTATTCTTGTTTTATTTTTATTTTAAGAAAAGAAATGACCATGTAAGTGTTAGCAAGTGAGTAGAGTCCCAAAAGAGACTTGAGTGTTTCTGGGGCCTCATTTTGTCTGAAGTGGTGCCTTCCCCAAGGGAATTCTCTGCATTTTGAGTGGCATGTTACATGTTTGAATTAGTACTTGGCAAAGGGTCTTAGAGAGGAGTTAAGGGACTTCAGCTCTGAACATTTTTGATATTAGCAGCCTATTCAGCTTGAGAGATATGTGTATATAGCAGCTGGGAAAGAGGCAACCAAACAATGGAAAGGTTGATACTCTTTTTTTCTTCACCCTGAAGGATGCAAAGATTGATCCAGAAGAATTTACAGGCCGCCTTCAAACAGAACTCAAATCATCTCCTCAGCCATATCTTGTACCTTTCCTTAAGGTAATGTGAATAGTGCTTGGATAAATTTATTTCAGAGCAAAATTTCTTCACGTTAAATCTTAGAATAGTCTTTTAAAATAGTGTTATCTTCACTGCCCCAGGACTACACTTCCTTTACTTGTAAATGCTGCCCATTTCTGCCAAGATCTGCCTGGCTGGAAGTGCTGTGCAGGCTCCACCTGTGCCAGGCCAGGGAGGTGCTACTCTCAGCTGCAGAAGCCCTGGGCTGAGAAACAGGGAGTTCCCACAGGAGGGAGACCTCGTGTATTTGGGACCTTGGCCGACTTTTACAAAAACAGATTTGTCACCCAGAGCTGATCTGGAGTTCACAGCTTGAGTAGCCCTGATCTAGAACAGTAATTAGATGTAAAAAATAAAAAGCATTTACTCCTTAGTTTGGAAACAATCCTTTGGCTATTCTGTAGTGATCCTTTACTTTCAGAATAAATACTCTTTTCTATGGTAGTAGGTAATTTTTTTGTGAAGAAGAGAAGCTTTCACATTTCAAAGAGTCCCAAGTTATTTTTACAGAATGCTTCAAGTAATTTAATAAGTTGTTTCCATACTGTTTTCCTAATCTATGGGTCATTGGTAACTTTCAATCCATATGTAGCAACGATTATGAAGAACTGAATTGGATAAAGTGTTGATTAGATGATTCTGGTTTTAATCTGGAGCTAATCAACAGTAGAATTTCTGGTATGGTACCTAATAGATTTATTGTGGGGTCCTAAGTTAGCATATGTGGGAGTAAATGTAACTTTTAATTGGTTCTGTAAATTAGCTACAATAACTTCCATATACAGGATTATATACAAATGTACAAACATGTTTAAGTCCCAACAAAGCTACAGATATGATTTTAAAAGTATTTTTGGTCTAATTAAAAACTTCTCTGTTTAGGGCATATTTTCTCTCTTTTTTTCTCCCTGCAACTTTGCTTCAGAACTTCTGGTCCTGTTTTTTCAAGTTATCATTAACTCTTATTTGTGGCTTTTACTGCAGTCACTTCTAGCATCATGATAAGTTTTGATTTATTTCCTTTCTTTGAAGTCCTTTCTGGGCAACAGGCATTAAGTTTTTAAATCAATATTAGGAGTTTAGAAAGAACTGTAGCTTGAGTTAAACACTTGAATTCTTCAGCTGCCTGAGGAAGCACCTCAAAAGAACACTTCTGCCACTTAAAAAGTCAAAAGTTTGTTCATGAAGGTACAGTACAGCCTTTTAGAAGTATGTTTTCCTTGAAATGGTATGAACATGGGGCTTACAATAAATAGTACACTTTTCTAATCCTGTCACAACACATTACTTCAGAAATAATATAATAAACAGCTACTACTGTAGGGCACCAAGAGGGAAATAATTTGGTTGTAGGTACTGGAGGTGTATTAGGAGGAGTAAGTTGGTGCAGCTTTCTGGGAATAGGGTTGTTCCCTGTTTCCTTTTTTGCTTCCATTTCTTGCCCTTCCAAAGACCTAAACTACAAGTTCTAGATGGTATTGAGAGGAAGAGTGATTTTTCTGCTACAGTGGAATTTATGGCATGTGAAAATCTACAGGGTTGCTAAATCCAAACTGAAAGCTTATTAAAAACTGAACTTTTTCTTTCAATAAATGTTCAATGTTATTTCTGTTTGATGAACAGACAGTCAAATTGGAAAACAAGATGCATTCTTTTAATTATGTTTACAGCAAATTTAAAAATGCTTTTTGTCAATCTGCTAAGTTTGCTATTTCATAAACTTTCCTCTGTTTTTAGAAAAGTCTACCTGCACTGAGACAATCTTTACTGAATAGTCAGCATTTGGTTTTGCAAGGACAGCCGTCTCAGCAGTCACTCCAACAGACCAAGCTCTCACAAGTTATACCTCAATCTGCCTCGGGAAGCATCTCCTCTGTTGTCACGACGCAGACAATAGGAATAAGGCAACCAAACAACATTTGCACAGTCTCTGTATCAAATACAGTGCAGCCTCCTCAGGTTAAGGTGGTACAGTCAAATCAGAGTTCTCAACTGGTAGGTACTGTAGTATAAAAGAGGATTTCTTAATGAACTGTATAGCAGTTTTTAGTGTCACTTTCATTGCAGCTTGTTTGGAAAAATTCTTTTTTGTTTGTATCATATTCTGTGATATGTGGTAGTACCTCATTTTCTGTCATTTCACATGTATGCTCAGCCATTACTTCAGATATGATTATTAACATAAATTTAAGGAAGTGCACTCTTGGTCTTTTTGTCTGCAATAGAGTGGTTGTTGTATAAGCACAGTGGAATTTGAGGGAATTACAAATGCAGAACAGAAAGCTTTCCAAGATTTACAGGCAGGTACAGTGTAATGTTGAGTATGTCATTAGGTATGCTGCTTTGCTTTAAAACTAAAATGAACTCTCATTTTAAACTCTTCTACACATAGTTGCAAAACCTTGTAGAAGAATAGCTGTGCTGTGCCAGGATGTTTTGTTTAGTAATAATGCCATTCTCTGTTACTCACTGAACTGTATCTTTGTTGTGCATAGTGGAGTGTTAAGTGCTTCATTAATTCATTAATTTCAAAGGCACTATCAGTAAGGCAGCTGCACAGCCAGGTAGTCATTAAGAGTGTGGTGACTTTATCCTGCTGTTACACTGGATCCTGTGTGTGTGTTTGCACTTGTAATCAAATGGTGTTAAGGATTTTTACAAGGCCTTGAGTTTATACAGGCATTACTATCCTTTGTGAGAGTTTCCTTGTATGTGGTTTCTGTGTATGTTTGAGTAAAGTACTTCATTTAGGTTTCAAAATCATATAGAGAGGTTCCAGAGCATTTATCAATGTAGTAAAAATTTATATTATTGAGGTCAAGAAATACAAATATGATAATGTAAAGCCTTACAGTGATCTGTCCTTGAGTTTATAAGCTCTATAAAGCATATAAATAATTAGTATTGTGTGTGGAAAGAAAATATTTTTTTTGCTTTAATTAAAAGTAGCAGTGCACAGACTGAAAATTACCTGAGCTGTGCCTTGAACCTTACAAACACTTTCTCGTGGTTAAATTGTTAACTTTAAAATAAAACTAATAAGATTTAATAATACTTTAGTGAACATAGTTTTTAATGTGTAAGAACATCTTGAATGGTAATATTTCTGACTCTGGCATTTGTAATACACACAAGACAGTTGTGTGTTTTTCACCTTAACTTGGCTGCTTCAATGCAGGTCCAGCCACTTGCATGCTTTCTTCTTCTGAGATAGCTTCTCCCTACCCTGTCTGGATTGTTGTATTAATTAGAAAAGTATTCTTCACACTTTTGTGACATCTCTTTGATTTGTCCGTGTTTCATGACTGAATGTTCAATAGCTTTGGCTTTTCTAGGCCCAAGAGTAGAAGCTAGTGATAATTACAGGCAGTAGGTGGAAAAATTACTCCCTGTCCAGCATAAGCAAATTTTTGCCTGCAGCTGATAGATTGCTTAGAGGTAGAAGTGTCCATGGCCAGTAAGTCTGGCCTCATCTCATGCCACAATCTAAGGCTAGCCTACTGCCATGTAGCATGGCTTTTTCCAGTGTTGTGCAGCCCACCTTAAGTGCTCCTGTGCCCACTGCGCAGGTTTCACCACACCTTTTGAGAAACACCAATGTAGGACAAAAATGGATAAGACCACAGGAATTCTTACTCGTATGATATAGTTCTGGTGGAGAATTTTCTGGTTGGGAGAAAGCCAAATTTCTGGGAGAGGCATGTTCTGCCTGTCTCATGTCAATGGATACTCTAAGCAAGAAGTTGTGGTGTTGTGAGTAGAGATTAACAATGTGACATGCCTGGGTCATAGGAGGAGCTGAAAGCTGCTGAAGTAACATTGTGGAGATTGATCTGAGGAGCAAGAGAAGTTGGTTTTCTGTCTATAAGGTCTAGGGCTGAATTTTCATTTACTGGGTACTTGAAATGACCACTACATTTTCAAAAGGTCACAAACTATGCAAGGCAAAGCTGTGGTTAATACTATTTATTTTCTGGAAAAGATATAATATATAGATATATATATATAAAATACGGGAAAGACATAAAGGATCATAATTCGTGTGCTTGAGTGTGAAACTGTCTTTTCATATTTCCTTTAAATTTATCAGTCTTTAGCTAATAGAATCAAACAGTACTTAACCAGGCACTTAATGACCCTCAGAATAGTTCTGTACAGACAAAAGCAGCATCAGACATCAAGAGTTAGTGCATCAAAAAATCTTAGCACAGCAACCATCAACTCAGGTGCCAGGCAGACAACACAGCAGCAGCTCCATATCAGCCCAGTAATTGCTGATAAGTATTGATTTTTTTGCAGTGCCACTGCTCACACTGTCACAGTTCTCAGTGCTCCCCGAAATTGGAGCACAGAGCTGCTGGCCATCTTGCCTTGGTCTTGTCCAGGAGAGGAAGATTGCAGCTGGCTTGCCTGAGGGTAGGCAGCACTGATGGAAGAACTGGCTGAGCTCCAGGTTTTCCAAGCCTGAAGCTTATTGGAGAGTGTTCCAGCTGGCTTTGCAAACTGTCCAGCTGCAGAAGGGCAAGCTTGTTTTAGACTGTACATCTTTTCATACCAGCCAGTTTACAGTAGTCCAGTTTTCCTTAAAATATGAAGGGTCTGTTGGCTGTTCCTTCCTTTGTCTTTTCTGTTTCTCAAAGGTGTCAGCTGTGGTGATGCTTTCTCCAGTTGCACTGAGGTACCTTGCAGTGTGAAAATCCTGTGTGCGCTGTTGGCATGCAGCATAGCTCACACAAAGGCTTTGAAATGTACAGTGTTAGCAGTGATGAAACAGGAGACTTCTAGTCTGTTTTGTAGAGTACTGGAATCATGTTGCAAACGATGAAAAACAATGCTTTATAAAGGTAGATAGTGCTAGTTCTATATAAAGAAAAGGGGAACAATTTTAGGCTAATGTTTTATTGATGAGACACTTATGAGATAAGCCAACAATCAATTTTTTTTAGTTGTTCTAAGTGCAATGTTCTAGGTTTGTCTGAATTGCCATTCTTCGAGTCCATGTGCTCTGTGTTGCCTTATATAGGCAGACATTGCCTGTCTTGTTTTGGGTGTTGCAGCAGGTAAAATTTGTATGAGTAAGAGAGATGTTTTTTACTACACATATTGAGGTTATAAGTAGATTGATGGGTAGTAGAGATGGATTAGCACTTCATGTACTGTTTTGGCACTGTCTGCATCATAAGGAGAAAGTACTCCTGGAAGTTAAAGCCAAGTATTAAACTTGAGTGATAAAAAAACCCAGTAAGAAAATCAGTGATCCATCTTAATTAAAACAATTTAATTATATAAAAAGCTGTATAAAGATTTGTGCAGGTCTGGGATTAGGAGGGTGGTATGGAAATACATCTGCACCATTTCTGCTGCACTGATAGGGCACAGTGTCCAGAGAGTGGGCTCTGCCATATTCTAAGTTATATTAGAACAGGATTTGCTCAAACATTTACTGACACTTTCCCTGTACTGTCACAGTGGTTGGAGTCTCTCAGAGTTGAGATAGAGTAATGGAATTTGGAAACAAGATACAGCAGCAGAATAAGAATTATGTTATATGGGAATGTTTCACTTGGCTTTTTAATTCTCCACTGAAGCTTTTGTGGCTTCACTTTTGTGTTCATGAATGAATCTAATTTGTACACATTTTAGTAAAATTTTAGGAAACTTTTTATTTTTTTGTCTTTGCAAGGCAACTTAGAAATGGAGGCGTAATAGATGACTATTTGGATAAAAGGAGTATTTTCTATTAATTGACTAATAAAGATATAGCCACTGACATGGAATTTGGTGTGCAGTAAAAAATAAATAAAAATGGCTGTTGAACAGTAGATATCTGGGATTTATTAACAGGTCCAAAGCCTGTACTTGACAGATTGTATGCTTATTTGAAACACAGCCTAGTGGTTTTCCGAGTTGTTATCACAGACTTTATTTTCAGAATTTTGTGGGCTGTATATTAATATTAGGATAATATTATCACTGATTGCTGTTTGGAAACCAGTAACAAAAGGCCAGGCTTGAAAGCGAAGATTAAAAGAAATGAACGCACAACTTCTTCAAACACTGATTGTAAGGGAGAATAAAAGGGAAAATCCATTATTTTAAACAGACCAAGATGGTAAAAATATGAATAACAGGATATAATTAAATTAAGTAGGATTAAGGTAGGATAGAAGGCAAAATATCCTTGAAGTAAGAGAGACTATTAGATGGTAGATCAGGCTCTCAAAGACGGTGATGAAAAAGCCGTAATTGAAAACATTCAAAAGTAGAGCATTTGACCATTGTAGGAAGAATTGTGTAATAAATTGAGGAGCAGGTGGGACAAGTGATGTCATGGCTTCTGTTTTATTTTTCTTCATTTCTTTGTTGAAAGCCTGTACTCAGTGGAATAGTATTGTCATATTAACATTAAAATAGTCAATTTTTTTTAATTTGGGAGGAAAAGTAATTGCTTATGTAGATTTTGAGGCACTGTTGAAAAACCGTAGCTGCTACTGCAGCATGGTATGCAATGGTAAATATGAATTCTAGGCCCATAAAAGCATGAACATTGTAAGTTAATGCTGCCAGATTACATGATAGCTGAGGTTTGATATGACATTTATCTTCAGGAGTGAGTAGACTGATAAATCACAAGTGGCATAGCCACAAGTGAGTTAGCAAGTGTTTACTCATGAGTGAAGATAAATGTCATATCAGACCACAGCCATTCTGAGTTTTATATGTTTATATGTTTCTTCCTTTCACATTATTTTTTTAACTTAATTGAGAGGAAAAAAAAGCTTGGTAAAGGATATATTTTTCAAATTTATTTTTGCTTTGCATTCTTTGGAGAAGCTCTTGTTTACTGTGTTTTTTGTCTTTATTGCAGTACTTGATAGATTTAAGCTTTTGGATCAGATGCTTTTATTGCAAAAGGCGATGCCTGTGAATTGGGCCAGGCTGGTTTTGCAGCCCTCTTCAAGTAAAGGTTGGAACCTTGTGCATCTGCACTGGTCCAGGAGATTTGCAAAATCCTTGTCCTCAGAAATTTTAGCAATGCGTTCTAATCTTACTGTCCTAAAGGAATTTTCCTTTCAATGGTTTGTAGGTTGTGGCTCTCATTTAATTTTGCCTCTCTTGTGCAGGCATGAGAAAGACTGATAACTTCTGTTCTCTTTCTGCTTCCGTACATTTGTTGTGCTTTGGCTGGATTCTTTCTCAGTCTATATTTGTTGGTTTTGCTGTTGATTATTGGTCTGTGTTCATGTCTATAATTTGTTCTCTGTCCTGCAATAACTTACACATAGAAGATGTCATGGAATGATCATCACCTTTTGGCTTAAGATTAGGACCAGAGAGAGCCATTACTTTATTCTCCTAGAGTCACCAAATCTACTCTTTTTGAAGAAAACCCTTAGGAAAAAAAACCAAGGGTATTTCAGCTGTCACCTCTTTGTTATTCTGGTTATTAGTAGTGTGATTGTTGTATATTCTTTTTTTTGTCTTCATGAGCCTGCTACCTTATGGAAGCACCTTTGTATAAGCATCCCATTTTTCACCCCTTAAAATACAGTCAGCTTCAGCAAAGGAGTGTCCTGCAGTGTTCAGGAGGTGAGAGGAGGAACTGGTCTGGCAGAGTAGACAAATGGTGAATCAAAGTGAGTGTGAAGAGTGGAGAGAGATGGCAAAGGGAGCAGAGCAAAGATGAAATAAAAGGAGAGGAAGAATACTTTTTATTGTGAGAAATGTACATCTTACTTTGCAGAAAAATGTTATTTTATACAAGAAAAATGTAGGTAACTGTTCACACATTGCACTTGGAGAAGCGATGCCGTGACTGCTGCTTTAGTGTGTTCCTTGAAGGGCTTCAAAGTGCTGCAGCCTAGGACATGATTCTTCAATTCTAACAGATAAATTGAAGAGGAATAACTAGTATATGCCAATACTTGCTGTCTCAACATTGCCTTGATCATAATTTAACATTTTCCTAACTCTGTCAAATTTAGGCAATGACTAAATCACATTCTGTCTTTTCTATTTTCTGTGTCTTCGTTGGCTGTTGTGCTTGCTGTCTTCAGAGGTGTACATAATTAAAATGCTTCCTTTTTTAGGGGAGGTGGAAGGATGAACAGTTTCTGTAAGGTCTGAAGACCTTTGTATTCTGTCTTGCTACCTTTTGTGACTCAGCACTTTAATAAAATCAATGATGGTGTGTTCTTGCACAGTGGTAAAAGGTTTGAAAGGACTCCTGGAGGTGTGTCTTGTGCAGCCTCCTGTTTACACATTGGGATATCTCCCGTGTGACCAGTCATGTTCTGTCTTCAAGAAGAAATTGCACAGTCTCTTGGGGCAGCCTGTTCCAGAGCTTGCCCATCCTGATGGTAATTTTTTTTTTCTTCTACTATATTGGAATCTCCTATATTCCAGCTTGTGTCTTTTGTGGTACATCCTTCTACTCTGCACATCTGGAGGAGTCTGACTCTGTCCTCATCTTCCCAAAGGTGGTTACAGCAGCACTGAGATCTCCTTTTTTCTGGAAGGGAAAAGGCTGGAGTAATATCCCTGCTTACCTAGGGGTCCTAAAACTCCTGTATCTGCTCTCAGTCTGGGTCAGTGCTTGTCAGCTGATTAGTGGCATTCAGCTTTGATTCAGAATGTGGATAGATAACCTGATGTGGGGTACACTTGTTGTGCATGGTTTTAGTCTGTGAGAAATATGAAATAATTTAAGTTAATCATCTCCTAGACCACCCTGCTGGTATACTTGTTCATTGCCTGCAACTTTGAGGTCAAACTAAGGACCTCATAGTAATAATAATAATAATTATTATTATAGTAATAATAATAATGTTTATTATTATAATAGTAATAATAGTAATGTTTATGATGTTGGGAAAACAGGCAAGACAATTAGAACAGTTTGAATTATCTTAACTGATGAAGTGTGGCTTATGTAGTTACAAGTTTTAATACAGAATCCTCTGATTCATTGGTTTTTACTATGTCCCTAGTTTGCCTGCAAAGAAGTTACATGCTCTGTTTCAGAAACGAATTGCTAATGTTAATTCCTTAATGACTTCCAGATCTGGAGATTGTATATTTCTTAAAACTCCAATATAGAAATGGGGATTTAGTGTAAGATGCTACTCTGAGCTCTGGTGCAATTGTTCTTTTGAGAGAGTTTGTGTCTATTGCTGGTTGATTTTTTTTATGGAGTTTAAGATGATGATTCTGGTCTTTGCCCCTTGGAAAAGTTTGTTTGTCAATAATTTTCTGGACTTTCAGCATTTGTACGTACATTGAAGTCCTAGTACTTGCCAAAAGACAATTTGTGGAATGTATTGGATAGTAAAGAAAACATTGCCATTTATGTCATCTTAAACGCTTAAATATTGTCCTGTCTTTAATGGTGTTAGTGGCTTATTTTGTAGGGTATTCACATGAAAGTATTAATTGAGGGAAAAAGAACTTGGTTCTGAACTGTAGAAGTTGCTTCAAAGAGAGAAAAAAAAAATACAATTGTAGAAGATTACTTTAATTCTATATATATAGGATTCTGTCCTGAGGTCCCACACATCTCCTTTATGGCCTGGCTTTTGGCCCATTAAGGTACAGCAGCTTTTCTTCACTATTCTCTGCAAACTGATCCAATAAATTATTGTAAAAGTGGCATAATTCTCTTTTATCATAACAATGTATGTTTTCTTAACATGGACTATTCTGTCTTTTTTCCAAAACCAAACTTGTTCATATTTCCTGTGCATCAAAATGCAGTTAAATTCAACTTTTTTCTACTGTTTTCACTGATCAACTCTTAATTCTTTCCTGTTTTTAAGCATGGTAGCTGCTTTATTCTTTCCCCTCTGAGTGTGACTGTTCACTCTCTGTCTTGACCAGTTAAATTCATATCTATTTCCTCCATTTCTGTGCTTAGTACAAATGCTCTGTTTTCCTTCAGTGTCCATAGTTGAAGCTGAATCCTTAATCTTTCTTCCCTTTTCTCTTTCTGCAGGGTGGTTATTGCTAATACCTCTACATCCACAGATTTATTATAATTTTTTGACTGTCTGTATTTTAGGATGTACAAAATGCAGTTTTGTAAATTCAGAATGATACCATTTGTTTTTTCTCCAGAATACATCAGAGATCCCTCATTGCTCTTGTCTTGTTTGCAGTTTCCACCTGTCTCCCTTGCAGTTTTGGAGCCCTGGTTCCTGCTAATGGAAGGGTTTCCTCATTGCTCATCCTCTGTTGTCACATCCCATCTGCAGATGCTGTTTCTCCTCCTTTTCCCCATAGGTTGCTTTGCAGTCAGAGGTTTGGCCGTTGCTGTGCAGCTGCGTGCAGCGGTGGCAGTGCTGCTGGAGGAGGTGCAGTGGGGGCTGCCTTCCAGGAGGGAATGGCTCACACAGGGGCAGGACCTCACTTGTGGCTGGGAGCAGCACGTGGCTTCGGAAGTTGCCATGCCTGAGTTGTGCTTGGAGTCTTACTCAAATAGCTCTTTGCCAGTGCTTTATTTTCAAAGTTTGTTTATGGGGTTTTGTACAGCTCTGTGGCTTCCACACATCCTTCTGAATCTTCTGTTCATTACATCTGTGCCTACCCTGTCCCTGATCATATAAATGTTGAGGTTTTTTTTTTAACATTTTGCTGTTGATTAAACATGACCCTTGCATGTATTTCCTATTTGATTTGTTTATGGGTCAAATTTTAAGTTTCTAACCCAGTTTTAAGGAAGAACTTGAGAACCTGAATTAGTAGTAAGTGAAACCTTGAGAATTTCGCATTTAAAAGATTCGTAGTATGTGATCACCACAAAACTTGGTTTGCTTTCTTGTGTATATCTGACTTTGGAACCCATAATATTTTAGAATTTATTTTTAGTATGTTTCTTTAAAAAGCGTAGCTATTTAGTGCAAGGCCTAATGTTTGCAGGCGGATACCTCTACAATTTTTGCAGCATTTTCTTCTACAAAACTGCTTTTCTTTCTAGTTAAATTTCTAAAGACAAAAGTCTGAATTTTAATATTAACCTCACAAATTTGAAATATATTTTTAGTGAAGGTTGTGAGGTATGACATGTGTCGTATATTATTGAATTTTCTTAAAGCATAATTACAAAATAGGTATATACACACACACACAACCACATGCATTACATGAATATGACTTTTGTCAGCAGCTAGGTGTGCTTGTAGAGATCCACGTGCTTAGTAATTACAGGTATTAGTGTATTTACGTTGTGTGTGTTTGTGTATAAAGAGTATAATATAAGTATACTTTTCTTTAATAATAGCAGATTATCCAGTCAACATCTGCTCAAACTGTGAAACGAACCCCTGCTTGCCAGACTACCCAGATTAGGATGCCAGTGGTAATAACTCAGACCATTAGACCACAAGGTATGGGTTTAAATGTTTTAGTGAGATTGTTACCTTTGTATGAATTTTGTTGTAATTACAAACGAGTAGCATGGAAAAATGTACAGTGTTGACACTGGCAACATTGTTGACATTTATTTTTTACCTCATGCTGGCTGAAGAGTGCATGTTTTCATATGCAGTTTCAAGGTGTTTCAGACCAACACAGTGAAATGTTTTAAAACAACCCTAGGACTAAACTCTCATATGTTAAGCTCCTTACTTAGCAGTTTTTCATGGAAAGTTCTAAACCAGGTCAGGAACTTGGCTCTCACTGTCCTAAATTGTAACTCTGGGCCAAGAAAAAAAATTTCTTTGTTTTCCTGAAGTCTAGTGGATGCCTCAATTTGATCATCCTACTTCTAATTCATACTCCTGAAGCAGAACATGGTAGTCCCCATCTCTGCAGCTACACAGGTCAAGGTGGGAGCCCTAGAGAAATTTCTCAAGCCTCAGGTTGGTTTTCTTTGACTCCTGTCAGTATGTTTATTTTTTGGTGAGGTCAGAGGCTGGCTATGGCAACCTGACATGCCATGATTAGCCACGGCATGTGCTTTGTACACACCTTCCTCATCTGTCTGTGCACAGGTGGGTTCAGGGCTGGCTGATACTTCCCACTTTCTAAGAGGATTCTTGAAGCCTCCTTGCTTCCTAATAAATACCCATTTGTTGCTTTCTACCACTGAATCTCTTAGGCTTGGGTTTTACTTCTCCTGAATATGTGTGAGAGTATCTTACTGGATGTGGGCATTTACAGATTGAGGGTTTGTAATGGAATACAGAGCTTGTCATCTTCAGGCACTGAATCAGGACTCAAACAAATTCAAATGCACATAAAAGCTATTGCTGCCTACCTGACTTCATTGCTTGGTTGTTTCTATTCTCCTTGGGAAAAAAAGCATCAAAAATGTTTAACAGCAGTTGATGTTTCACTTGCTCTGCTCTCCTAGGGGAATCCAAAGGTTGAATGGACAAAAAGCCCAAGATGTCACTGTAATCCTGTAGGCTGTTTTCAAGTTAGGAAGGAATACAGTTACTCACCATAAAATGTGTTTGATAGCACTGATACTCATGTCCTGAGTTTATAACATGTCCATGCATCTTATAGCATGAGCTTTCACTTCTGACTAATGTGTTTGAGAGTGAAGGCAAATTTCATTTCTTTGCTTGTTCAGTCTCCAAGTTGTGAATGTCAACAGTGTACTGAGAATTTGCATGATACTGGCATCTGTCTTTTAAACAGTAGGTTCAGAATATGAGTTTATTCTTGATAGCCCTCGATCAGCCAGTGCAATGCAACTTAACTGGCAGTTTGACTTTTGGTAGATGGTTTTATAAAAGCCAATTTATGCAAGAACCTACTCTTTGGTGAGCTTATTCAAATTTGCAGGTTTGCTTAAGCCCTCTAGTATATGGTTTGATTTACACAGACAAAACAGACAAGAATAGGCACTTAGAAAACATCCCAGTAGAAAACCACGCATCCTAAAGCCCCCATCTAGGGAGCAGGCTGCCTGTGTGCTGGCAGCACTGTCAAGAGTGCATCATTGTGATATATCATTAAAACCTTTTACTGTAATTAAACACCAGTGTAATGGTATTTCATAGTGGCCTAGGTATTCCAGAGAAGGAGCTAATATACTGGAATAGCATATCCTTTAAATAAAACTTATGGTAGCATAATTTTGTGGAGTGTGACTAGTTAAGGATAATTACCTCAGAACTGAACTGACCTCCACAAAGTGCTGCAGTTTCCTCCTTGACAGGAGTGAATCTCCAAGTGTAGTGTATCTTTAGTACATCCATGTGAACAGGCTGTAATGCTTCTTAAAACAGTAGTTTAGATAAAACTGGCATGCTTTAAGGACATTTATGTAAATAAAATTACTTACACACCAGTGGAAGTAACATCATTGTTACTGCATGAAAAATTCACACTCCTTTATCAAAGCACTATACTAGTAGAATAATTAGGTGAATTCATCTTATGGATTGGATGGATGAATTAAGCCAAATAATAAAATAATTAACTAGAGTATTTATTGCAGCTATTTAACCAGTGCTGAAATATAGCTAGGAATTTATAATCTCCTAAATTTGAGCTTATTTTTCTAGATCATGCTAATTAAATTTTGAAGCAAGAATGCAGTGGTGAAAGACTCTGTATGTCATTACCAATCCTATGAAATATCTAGGCCCACAGGTGATTTTAATTTTCAAAATATGCTCTGCCCAAAATAAAAATGGATGTTTTAGGCATATTATGTCTAACCCTTAGTCATGGACAGTTGTAATTTATTTAAACTAGAAAACTCAAATGTCTTCCCAAATCTTACATTCACTTTGCCTGATCCATTGAGTAGAATTACATATACTTGGGATGAATGTGAGACTTAATTCTTCCATATCCATATGGATATTCATGTTTTGGGGGCGTTTTTCTATCGGAAGTATCATTTGTAGAAAACAAAGCATTGATACCAATTCCAAAGAAATGTATTAATTCTGGAGGAGTGCTGTTACTTTGAGTTTGCCATTGCAACAGTTTTCAAGGTTAACACATTTTTAATCTTCTAGATCTTAATTGTACAAAGCAAAAAATCTGCTAATTTTTGTTATTATTTCTTTCCTTCCTTCCAGTTCTCTGAGTAGAAAACTATTACATTAGTTCATCTGAAATAGATAAATGAATTGCCTGGTCAGTGAACTAATGCTGTCTGTGACATCTCATGGACCTTGAATATTTTGATGACAAAATATTTTTATTCCCCAGGCTTGAGCCTGAACTCCTAAATCTGGTCTTGTATTTGCTAATGTTGAGAGTCCACATTACAGTTTATTTATACAGATGGAGAACTCAACAAACACTATCAAATTATTTTCTCTTTAAGATCATATGTTGGAGTTGATGAAGATTTCAAATTAAAAAAAAATGTAATGCAGGACTCAGTCAAAGCTAGCAGCTTTGTATTAGCCAAGAAATGTTCTTAAAAGAATTTATTAGGAGAGTTGTGTTTCAAGTTTTTACTATTCATGAAATAAAATACTGTAACTCTACTGGGGTTCTTACTGTACCATTTATGTGCATCTGAGTCCCTAGGGTGCAGGAGCAGCCTTCACATCCTTCTCAGAGTCTCAAATACCACATCTGTAATGCTCAATAAAATGGAGTGATACACAAGAGAGAGGAGAGATCTTTTAAATCAAGTAGATTGAGTTATTTTTACATGCCAAAACACAGGTGGGATTAAAGGAAACCCAAAATGTAACCCAAGTAAATGTGTTTAGGCAGTCATAGAGGGACTACTCCAAAGGTTTTGTGTCAGAGAGGAATTTAGATCTCTTTAATTTACTGGATGTCCATCACACTTTGGCTCATTTAGAAAGCCCTGTTTTGCTTGTACTTCAAGACTTGTAAACTCTAGATACAGACAAGAATTATTTTTGAGTCATTGTTTTCAAGATGAGAAAGCAAAAGACAACCTTTATGGGGGGTGTGTGTCAAATTTGGCAATAGTGTTTTTTCTTTGATATGCAATGCAAAACATTTTTAAAATACATGCAGTACTTTCAACTCTGAAATACATGTTTTTCACTGCAATAAGGGACAATTACTGTATAGAAAATGTAAAAGGCATAGCTAATACCCTGAGTAACTCTGACTTTAAGTATTTGTATTAAGAATATTTCAAATTCGCCTTCTTTATTCTGTACAGATTATCCAGAAAAGTGGTTTACTGGCAATTGCAAACACACTTTTAGCCATTATAAATATTATAGCTGTTTATTGCCAGTGTTTTTCAGTTTTGGAATCTTCACTGTTCTGTAAATATTGAACAAACTGTAATGTTAATATAAATTTTGTATTTTAAATTGTTCTTCTTCAGCATATAGTCTTTAAAAATAATAACTTCCTTTGTTTGCAATTTACAGACAGTTAAATTTAGTTCCTGGACAGAAGGTTCTTTGATGTAAATTGTCTAAGACAGCTCATAATAACATTGCTTGGTGTTTTTCAGGCACAGTAGGGAAGGCACCAACAATACAAGCCAGTAAAAGTCCTGGGGGCTTTGGTGTTCAGGTCTCTGCAAATCAGAAAAACAAGCTGAATGACCCTGGAGGTGGTTCTTTCAGGTAAAAAAAGCAAAAATAATAATAAAAAAATGCAGCGGGGTGCTTGGGGGGGATCTGAAGTATAAAACAGAATTTAGAATTGGTGTAACACCAGAGGGCAGTCTTTTACAATAATTCCTGTCTTTTTTCCCTGGGATTGGATGGCAATTTTAATACTTAATTCTGTTTTTAAAGAAAGAAGGGGATCATTACATATCTTGAGTATTTTTCTCTAAACGCACATTTTAACGTTTAACAGGAACGTAAATTCTGTGGATTATAATAAAGCTTTGGCTGAATGGAATTATGTGCACGAGGATCTAAGAGAATCTGTGGCTGGTGTTACCCAGTGGATGCTGCTGCTCCTGTGGAATGTGTCTTGCTGGGAAGGTGCTGGTTGTGAGGACAGGGTCTCTGTGGAGCAGCCCCTCCTCAGCCTGGGAGGGGATCCCTGAGCAGGGGCATTGGCAGTCCTGGTTTTAAAAGGCAGATTGGCTGTGTGAGCTCCCTGGGCTTCCTCAGCTCATGGAGGTCGGGTGCTTTGTGGGCCCCTGTAGGAATCAGGTGCTGCAAAAAAGGTTCAGCACAGTTCCAGTGATGCATTGAGCTGCTCTGCCAGTTCTTTATCCTCCAGACTTTTATTTATATGTATTTGGGATATTTTTACTTTTGGTAGTGAAAAGCAAATCTTATGTTTACTGTGTTTTGCTCTTGCTAACACCATTTTAGTTGTGTACATTTTAGTTCTGTCAAAATATTTTCTTTCTTTATTGAATGACAGAATATTCCTGGATTTTAATTTTCATATTCTGGGATTCTTCTGTTGCTCTGACATCATCAAACCACTAATTAATTTTCAGGCTAATGCTTTTGCAGGTGAAGTAAAAGAGAATTTGTAGCTCTTTGAAATATCTCTGCTTTGAGGCATGTCAGTATTGTAACTAATAGTGGTAGTACTTAGTATTAATCTGGAAGCAAAATCATTCAATTTTTTATTTTCCAATGCTTTTGCCTCCCACTGAGTATTTAAATGAATTAAAATGTCTGTTGGGTTCAATTGTACTGTCTTAATAAGTATTTTTTATGTTTGTAAGCAACATGAGCATTTATTCTTCGTTAGTATAGCTTTCAATTTTACATACACCAAAAGGGACAGCATTTTTTTAGCTGGATGTTGTAAACTGTGCCAGGATTGATTCTTGCATTCACTTAGTTTATACATAGAATATATTAGGTTAGCTGGAATTGTTAATTTTCCCTTGGGGAGAAGCAAATGCTCAAGGCACTGATTGATAAATCAATAAATCTTTAGTGAGTTTGGTAAATAAGCTGTCAAGGGTGTATGTCATTTTTCCTCTAGAGAACAAATTTTAGTCAGAATGAATGTGTTTGTTTCCTTACATTGTTTTCTCCTTCAAAATAGTAAGACACAAAGCTGCATTTAAATAAGTATATAAAATTGCAAAGATTTATTAAACAGCAGCAAAGATTAAGCTTTTTCCTGATATATTAACAAAGAATTCAGTTGTTTGCATATTTGCATTTCAACCCCTAACCTCTCCTGAGGACAAATAGATGTCTGACTATTAAGCCTAAAGGCACAGAGCTGGAAATCTGTATTAATCCTCTGAATGCTGACTAGTTTTCCTCAACATTCCCAGCGTGTGTGAAGAATGTGTTTTTAGCCAGAAGGCAAACTGGCATCTAAAGCAAAGCAAGAATTTTGAAAAATAGTTGTGTTATGTATAAATTTATTTTGCCCTTAGTGTTTTATTATTGCATATTTGTTTCATTATTTTACATTCTGCTTTCTTTAAAATAACTTATTTGAACTTTTCACTTTTGTGAGTGAAGTGTTGGTCACTAGAAACAGAAATTTGAACTTCATTGTTTTTTGGTTTTTTTCCTCCATTCTGAACTGTAGGGAATACAAGATGGAATTACATAAAAGAACTAGCAATTAAGAATTTTGCAAATTGCACCTATGCCTTTAAGGTCAGCATTTATTAATGAACAGTAAGACTGCTCACATGAGTTCACTGTTTGTTCCAGTAGCTGTTCTGTGATGCACAGTTCTCAACCCAAGAGTTCTACAATGTGAAGCTGTGCTTGTGAAATTTCAGGTCACTTTTTTTGGTATTAAATTTATTATTGCTGTATTTTAAAATTTATTGTTATTATTAAATTTATTATTGCTCTATGTTTCGGAGAGAACTACCTACAACCCCAGTTAGTTGACTTTTCAACTCTGTTAATACCTAAGGACAGAAATTGTGACTTTCATTTTTAGTAATGTATCTGTTTGTTTTGCAAGCAGAGGTCTAGACTTGGGTTTGTACCATAACAGGCCAGCTTGAGGTTTCTGAAACTTCTGAAAACTCACTTTTCTGGGCTTAAAAGTTCACTTTTATAGGAAACTGTTTGGCAAGAATAGCATAAATGTATGTTTCAGTATCCAAACATGTTTCATTATGAGGTTCCTTGAACTAAGGAAGAATGTATGGATAGGATTCTTCCTATCAGAAAAAATTGTAGTCCCAGCTGTGATTGATACATTTCTTATTTGTATTCCATGTAATACTGAAAAGAAAAAGATATACTTGCAGATTGTAGGTTGCAAGTGTAAGATGGAGGATAATGATTCTCTCCAGGAGTTGCAGTGATGGTTTTTGTAAGTGCTGTTGCATTGGTTTTGTAGCTGAGAGAAGCAAAAATCCCTCTGAAGTCTGCCAGGGACCTGCACATGTGTCCACAGCTGCTGCTCATCACCTCTGGTGCTCTCAGAGTTCCCACTGCCAGCAGCTGCTCCTGCTGTGGTGGGAGCAGCAGGCTCTCAATGGTCCATACCACAGTCCAGGTGTGGCCATTGAAGGGAACCAGCAGAAACATTTGCTCCTGTGTTGAGATGGAATCACTTCAGCTGGGAGGGGCAGCTTTGCTTGGGTCGGGGCTGGTCCAGGTGTGCTCTGTGCTCCTCCCAGGATGGAGGTGGGTGTCTGTCCTCTCATGTCCCAGCACCCCAAACTGCTCAGCAGGGCTCAGTGGCAGGGCCAGAAGTGAAGAGTCTGTCCCTTGCTGTGTGGGATGATGCTGTGGTTTTGTTTGCTCCTTCCTTTTGACAGAAACCTTTCCTTTTCTGAAGTGGTATTTCAGTTACATCTGACCTCCTGGAAGCTGTCAGGTTTTGTACAGCCAGTGTGGTGGGGTTTGTTTTCAGAGCCAGTTCTGTGAAGTCTCTCAGATCATTTGAAGCTGATCTTAGTATCTGTGTTTTATTCTGCTGACTGCATTTTGAGGTGGACTCTATGTGGAAATACAAAATTGGTTTTCAGACCTCCCTTGCATAGTCAAAAAAAAAAAATCTCTTGTCTAGTATTTTATTTTCATTTTTAAAAACAAAAGTTTAGCAACATATGCAAAGCAGCTTTCCCTTTAAGTGGTAGAAAGCTAATGTGGATGTTAAATGGATAACTTGAAAGTTTTTGTTTCAAAATGGTATGTGAAAAACCCTTGGGTTGAGGTTTTTGTTTTTTCAAATAAATTATTTCAAGCTATGAGAGTATTGTGTTTTTTCCATATATTTCAAAAATAAAGAAAAATACTGACCACAGATGTGGTCTGTTCTGTCAGCCCTTTTGCTTATCAGAGAGAAGATTCCACATAGAGAATGAATTATGTGGCAAAGCAGTATTAGGGAGACATTTGAAATTATAACATGAGTGTTAGAATAAACATTATAATTAATGTGTAAATGGAATCTATGCCATTATAAAATAAAATACAGTAGTGGCTGTTTATATGCCATGTATTTTTTATCTCTGATTGTGTGATCCACAGGATCTGTGGGATGTAGGGACTTTGTCCTAATGACATGCAATTCCCTTGTAAGAGAGGGCAGTCAGTAGCATAATGTTGTCTTGATTGCTTTATGCATTCTTCTGGCTTATTTGGGAGCAGGTCAGTATTGCAGATTGGGACAGCAGTGGCTCAAATCTGACAAAGTACATGAGAAAGAAAAACTGCAATCATGCAGTTAAAGTTTGTTCATAGAGAAAGTACCACCAGATTTTTATAATGGCTTGTCTTAGTTTAAACAAAATCTTTGAAACCTTTCACAGAACTGTGCAAATGCTTTGTGTTTTCTTGCTTATTTTCAGATAAGATTTTTTTTCTTTTGGCAATTGTATGAGTCTTCATAACAAGGGAAAAGGAAAATTGTTACAAGAGGTTGAATATTAGAGGAAGAATTGGACTCTTGGATTATTAAGAGATACAATTTGTGTTTGGAGGGAGTTTGAGAACTCATGCTGTCTTAAAAATACAGTGTGTGTTGGAATGTTAGCTTCATCCTATGAGACTTAAAATTTAATTCACTAATAACCAGAAATATTTACTGAAACAGTAGAATTAGAATGAGCATAGTAATATATGCCAAGAAATATGAAATTGTTAAATACTGTGCTCTGATGAAAAAGGGAAGATAGACAGTAATCATCAGTCTAGATGACCACTGGATGGCATCTTTGTTCCACAGAATAACTTCTGAAAACTCACTTATCTGGGCTTAAAAGTTCACTTTTATAGGAAACTTTTTGGCAAGAATAGCAACTATATATATAAATGTATGTTTCACTACCAAATATGTTTCAGTATGAGGTTCTTTGATGTAAGGAACAATGTATGGATAGGATTCTTCCTATCAGAAAAAATGGTAGTCCCAGCTGTGGTTAATACATTTCTTATTTGTATTCCATGTAATACTGGGAAAAAAAAGAATATACTTGCAGATTGTAGGTTGCAAGTGCAAGATGGAATATAATGATTCTCTCCAGGAGTTGCAGTGATGGTTTTTGTAAGTGCTATTGCATTGATTTTGATAATTGCATTGAAATCTAATTCGTACAAAATACTTGTCTGGTTTTATTTCAGAAATATTTATTTATAATGTGGTCACAGATCTGTACATTGAATAAAAATTTGAGTAGCTAAGCAGAAGGAAGGTAGAAGATGGATGGTATTCTATTCAGCTATGAAATAACGGAGAAGTATAAACTTCTCTGAGAAGCTGTGTTCTAAAAGTCAAGACTTCTGTTTTGACTTTTTTAATGGATGATTGCTTGAAGGAGATTGCAGTACTTCTGGCAACCTGATGTGCAAATACAGGATTGAGGCTCTTGATTAATGCTGGCCAGTTGTGCCCAGCTGTGAGAGTCGCTGCTGAAGGGACAATTTTGGGAGCCCCTGCCCAGCTGTGAGAGCTGCTGCTGAAGGGACAATTTTGGGAGCCCCTGCCCAGCTGTGAGAGCTGCTGAAGGGCCAGGGCAGCAGGGCTGTGTGGGCTCTCCCTGGGAACCTCTCGGTTTGTTTTTACCCGGCTCCTCCGGGGCTCGGGCTCGTCCCCTGACACCCAGACCCACAGCAGGGTGAAGGCCCACAGGGCATCACCACCACACTTGTGGTTTAGTCAGTTTGAGCTTTATTTTGAAATTCTGGGTTCAAGTCTGTCTTTCAGAAGCTTCTGTTTTACATAGTTCAGAATTTGTGTTCTGGTGACTGCCTTGATAGGAGTTTGGTTTTTGTGTGATTTGAGGCCTGGTGGATTTGGGCCTTGTGAATCCTGGGTGATTCTCACTCCATTGCAAGCATTCAGGTTTTAACCTGACAGAATCTTGGTTTCTTGAAGTTTTACCTGTGTTTTCTCATCTGTAGAATTACAGACTTTTGAGTTGATCATTGAATGTTTCAGTTGGTGTTGGTTGTGTGGAGTGGGCATGGAGCCAATTCCTCATTGTGGCCCCGGGCCCACAGGTCATTATTGTGTCCACACCATGTCAGCTGTAAAAGTGCCAGGATTAAAGGGGTGAAGCACCTGCCCTAGGAAGAAAGGCTGAGAGAATTGGGATTTTTCAGCCTGGAGAAGGGAAGGCTTCAGGGTGACCCAATTGTCACTTTGGAGCACCTGAAGGGAGCCTGCAGTAAATGAGGAGAAACAATCTACAAGGTCATGTAGTGGCAGGACAACGGGGAGTGACACCAAACTAAAGGGTGATAGGTTTACATTGGGAATTAGGAAGGAATTGTTCCCTGTGAGGATGCTGAGGCTCTGGCACAGGTTGCCCAGAGAAGCTGCCCCTTGCAGTGCCCAAGACCAGGCTGGATGGGGCTTGGAGCAGCCTGGGACAGTGGAAGGTGTGTCCCTGCCCATGGTGGGCATGGCACTGGATGAGCTTTTAAGTTTCCTTCCAATCAAAACCATTCTACGATGTTGCAACACTGCTCTCAGGAATTTCTTTTTAAGGCAGGAAATCAAGTGCTTAACACTCCTGGAAATTAATAGAAGCTCATTTGTGTAGACTTTTCCTGAAAAGCGTTTTAAGATACTCCATTTTCTGCGTCAAGTGTTAAGCACATTTCTGCAGGTTTACACTAATAAATGTCTCTTCTTGACTTCTTCCCACAAAAGAGAACAAAACCAGTGTTTATCAAACCATTGTAGTCTCTCACCAAAATTGGCTGCTGTAGTACAGATAACAGGAAAATTATGGGAGGAGCAGGAGGACCTAGATTATGGATTTATGGATTTCCCTCCTTTTATTTTCAGACCTTATTTGCAGCTGTTGCTTTTTACTGTGGGCATTCAGCTTGTTACAAGTGGCAAAGTATTTTAGAGTGCACGGGACATCAAGTATGTAACAATTAAAAATCTTTTAAATTGAGTTTTTGTTTGTTTATTTAATGCAGTAATGGGAGTCTGGACTTGAATGTTCTTATCTGTATATGTATTCTGAAAATAATATTCTCAAAGGTTGTGTAATCACTCTAGAATATGTTGAAATAGTGTTTGTGTCAAGCAAACACTTTGAAACAGAATGTGCTAAATCCAGATGGCTGTTTCCACAGCTCTGAGTCATACCTCAGACAGGTAGGAGGTAAAGATGCTTGGGAGATACTGGTATGGAAACTCAAATTTGTTTGTACTTTCTCAAGCTGTTAAAAAGGATGTTGCAGGGCACAAAATGGTCTGGGAGTTGCTATCATCTTCTCAAATGCAGCTCATTTTCCTAAAACTTGTTGACACAGCTGCTATTTGTATGTTGCCAGAGAAATTACCAGCACATACTCCAGAAACACTTGGAACCCAGACTTACCTGTGCGCTCAGCATGGTTAAAGAATCTTCCCTGACTCTTGCTGGAAATGCTTTGATGCTTGTTTTACTAGAAACTTGTGAAACAGTGAAGGATTAAAAATTAATGGGTTTGCTTTTAATTTCCGTTATTTATTTTACCATTTTATGCCTAGTTTTCTTTATAATGAGAAAATCTCAGTGTCCAGTTGTTAGTGGTGATCATTGCCTTTAGTTTCCTGATCAGCCTGGTTTTGTTGATATCCCTGACTCAGACACCTCTGTCACACTTTCTGTTACCAGTCAAATTGTCCTGCTTCTGATCTTTTCTGATATGGTCAGAGAAAGACATGGTTGTTTCTGAAAATATTCTATGAAAATGGAGACACCAGGGGTTGTGTCTCAATTGGTCCACCCGTTGGGCATGTGGCATGATTGTTCCTTCTGGAGAAGCAGATGGTGCAAAAAATGAATATATTACATGCAGAATTTGGTTTTATATGTTGTTTTTTTTTTTATTGCAGAGATGATGATGACATCAATGATGTTGCCTCTATGGCTGGCGTTAATCTTAATGAAGAAAGTGCCCGAATTCTGGCTACCAACTCTGACTTGGTTGGAGCCCAGATCCAGTCCTGTAAAGATGAACCCTTTCTTGCTGCTATACCTCTCCATAAACGCATACTTGAAACGGGTGAGAAGCACATCCTTTCCTTCTGGGAGTGTTTCCTTCACAGTGATGAGGTTCTGAGGAACAGAATATGCTTAGCACTTAAGATGGTTTTTTAAGCATTTGATTCCATAATTTTGTATTTCTAAACTTTCAAGGTTTTTGTGATAAAAGTAACTTACCTCAAGTTGGAAATAAAATAGCATGCTGGTACTTTTAAACTTCATTCTTTCCCATGTTTTTTATATCCAAGGATCTCAAAGCTCTTTGCAAACATTAATTATTTCTCACAATCCTCCTTCATGTTTTACACATGAGAAGATTGAAACGGAGAGGTAAAGTAAGTAGTACAGGTCACAGAGGACACCTGTGAATAACATTTAACAGAATGCTTAAGTTTCCTGTCAAGATTTTCTTTCCCCATACAAACCAGTTACTCAGTTCTTAGCACCTGCATCTATTTAAGTTCATAGTGATTTTCTTATGACATGTTTTCAAAAAGCTGTGTTTATTTATCATGGCAAGAAGGTATGTTTATTTATTCTGCCATTTGAAAATGGCAGTTAAAAACTTTAGTAGAATAACTGTTCAGAATTAATGATGTTTTAAGGTTAGGAAATGCACTTCTGTAAAATAGAATGCATTTTTATGCAATATACTTTATTAATAATATAACACTTTGTGTTCTGGTACTTAAATGTATATTTTTCAGCAGAATTTTCGTAATGTTTCGTAATGTTTTCAGTGCCATCAGTGTCTTAGCATACTAAGCTCCAATTATTAAATTGTATCTCTTTCAGGCCTATGCTTACATCACAAATTTTTAGGGATCTACTTAGAGTTTTAAAGATAAGACCAAAATCTTGTTACAAATCAGTGCTGTTAGTTTTTTTTTAAGCATGTGGCTGCTTCTGAAATGCTATTTGTGTTTATGTTCATTGAATTAATGGGAGCCTTTTTATATTGCAGTTGCAGGCAAGTTCTTCATTGACTTATTGTCAGACTTCACTCTTGTACTTTACAAAATGCCATTTTAAGTTTCCCTTCAGAGAAAGGAATGGTTTTGCAGGCTGTAGTCAGCTCGCTGTGAGGATGTGATGACAGCTGGGAAAGTGTGTCCTGCCTTTTGGGACTGCCTTAGCACCACCTGAGACTGCAGCCAGCAAGGTCTTCGTGGAATGTCTCTGAGAAACTGTTGAGAGGGATGCTCACGTAATAGTTGATACAGGTGTAAGAAAAGGAAAAGGCAACAGACATAAAACTGTTAGAAAGAATGGGAAATCAGTAATGAATTTGCCATTTAAGCCTTAATGAGCTATCTGGCTATAACAATTGCTGCACAACATGGAGTTGTAATTACAAGTGCAGGACTTACAGGAATCTGTGCATACTTTAAGAGCCACAGAGCCCATCACACTATTCATCACTGCCTTTTGGGGTTTGCTTCTCTGAGGAACAAATCCCCATGGCTGTTTTTGAAGCTTTATTGGCTTTGATAATTGAAATGAAACTTTCAAAGCTTTTAAAAGCAGCTGCAGGGATTTACTTCTCAAAAGCAGTGAATCCAGAAGAGCGGCCACTCCTAGTGATCTCCTGCAGCCACTTTTAGAGCTTTATTTTTGTTTTACATGAAGCCTTTTATAGTTTTGAAAGTGGCTGTGGAGTTCAGAAGTGGCTACTATCTGGGATCTATGGCTCTCGAGGAGAGATTCCTTCAGCTGATTTTGAAGTTTTAGAAGCTGGGTTTTCGCTGTGTGTGGCCAGATTTGTTGTTTGCTTAGGACCACACACAAATTTAGTAATTTGTGCTACTGGGCACTTAAAATAATGACATTGTAAGTTCACTACAAGACTCAGTATTGCCATATGTTGCTGTGACAACACCAGGACTAAGCAAAGCACCCATGACCTTCTTGAGCACATTAGGAAAAAGTCTGTTATGTGAGTCCTCATTCTTCTGTTTTCATTATGCTTGTTGACAAATGAGATAAGATACATTGTTCTTCTTACTTTTGCCTGAATATGACTTAAACAGATGTTATTTTCTACCTTTAGGTCTTTTCATATTTAATCACTTCAGTTCTAGGACAAGTTTTTAATGTTTTGGTAAAAAAGAGATTTGTGGTGTGTACAGTATTAGGAAACTGCTCTTGTCTCCTTTCTTAGAAGTGAGATCTTTCAGGTTTTCTGTAATATTAATCTCCTCCTCTCTTTTCTGAGTAAGAGCTCTGTCGAGCAACTTGGTAGTGTTCCCCAAAGGCTGTTTCAGAGATTGTGCTTCCATTCACCAGAGTCGGAATATAAACTGCTAAAGTGAGAGCAGATGCTCTTCAGACTTTGGCAGTAACCACCAGCTAGATGCCTCAAAGACATAGTGAAAGAGGTTTCTTAATACATTGTATGTTCTTATCTCTACTTGAGCTTGGCAGTGTTATAATCCAAAGTTTATTTTAAACTTAAGGGACTAATATTGATCCATTTAAATGGAAGAAGTAACTGAAAGGTAATTCATGCAAAGATATTCATCTACTTCCCACATGCTTCCTTATCCAATTTTGTATCTAGTCATTTTAGGCTGGTAATCATTGCCGTTTGTTCATGTAGGAAGGCAAGGCTGTGACTGTTTCAAATTCTTCTTTGATGCAAAATCAAGAGTGACTATTTCTCAGCATATAATGTATTTCTTTTGTTATTCCACTCGGAATCATAAAACTTTAAACCCTGATCTTTCTACATGACAGCATAGCACAATGAAACATATACTAAGGGTTGGAAAGCTTTCGTGTCTCTTTTTGGGAAGTTGAGTGGCGTAGGTTGATAGGCATCATCCATGTGCATACCAACACCTGACACTTTCTAGGTCTTTAACTTTGTTAGTAGAATGAGGAGTGTTTCTTCAGAGGGCAAGCAAGCTGATTAGACCCATTATTTATTTACAAATAAATAATGCTGAAAAATCCTAGCTTTTCCACATTTTATGGGTTTTATGGGAATGAAACAAGAAAAATAACCTTAATAATTGGTAATTGTTTCACTTTCGTTCATTCATAAACTTAACTAACACAACATTCTTCTTGCTGAGTAAGAATGTTGTGTTAGTTAAGTTTTAGAAGCTAGTTTTTGACATTCTGAGTTTTTGCTGTTTACTGAATGAGGCAACAGGCAACACTTAGTAAAACAGGTTTTTAAGTGTGACAGTTTTCTATAGTCCTTAACCATTTTGTGAAAATAGAGACTCCTCTGCTTTAATTCCCTGATTACAACCTGGCTTCTGAGTGCTGATAAGAACAAGGCTGTACTGCATTTTATGTTAAAAATTAGTGAAAGGTAGCAGGACACAGCAAAGGATGGCATAAAACATGATTATTTTTATAATCCTTTCCTAAATCCTTGGAAAAAAGGAACAGCTGTCTCATGTAATTTTCTGAGAACTTGATGGTCTCTCAAACCTTCACCGGGGGTTCCAAAAGGCATTGCTTTATAACTTCTGAACAATAGAGCATGATACCTTCACTGGCTTAGAATCTGCAGGAGCTTATTAATTCCCACAACTTTTAATTTTAATTGATTTCTTCTACAATCAGGTGATGCCATTTTACTTTTATTAACTCTCCCTAAAATGTCACAACTTGTGGTGAGCCCTAAGTATAAGTTAATTGTTATAATGCAATAATATTTAAGCAGGAGTTTGGCTTCTTGTATTCTTGGACTTCAATGGTTCCTTTCTGTGAAGAACTTTGTGTTCTTCACCCCATTTTTCTACTTCAGTTTTATTGTTACAGAGCACTGACTGAATAGAACACATGTGGCGTTCTAAGAAGTACAGGACTGGTTTGGCCACATGGAATACATTTTGAATACTGTCATCTTGTATCTTCCAAATTATTTTCACTTAAATGCATACAACAGAAATTTATTGGAGAATCAGCCATGATATTTTTATTTCACATTAATTCAGAATTTTCTTAATCTGCATTAAGGAATCAGTCTATAGCATGGTTTTACAAAATGCTATATTTTTGTTACCTAGCATCATTATCAATGTCCTTTGGAAAAAGTGTGTTATACAACATAGCATACATCTGCAATATTTCCCACCACAAACCTAGTTCTGGATTCTCTTGCTGCATATAAATAAATTTTTAGTCTAAAACACACAGAGTGGTGCATGCCAGTTATTATAAAGCTTGAAAATGTGCTGATGAATCCAGTTTCTCCTAGTTCAGTAGTTATAAAGCCTAGAGTCTTCCTTATAACAGCTTCAGAGAAGCTTGGCTGGTTAGAAGTGAGCCACTGTTTTTGTCAATATAACAGTTGTATGGTTAGGTTCAACATAACTTATAGATTTACCTTTTTGTTATTTTACATGTAAGATATGTTTTTAATTCTGTCTGATGAAATATTGATCATTGCTCTGCCTTGATTCTTTCTTTGTTCAGCCACTCTAGAATTGCAGGTCTGCTATAAAACTGTATGTTAAAACTTACAGAAATAGCTTATCTGTGTTTTCTATATTCTGAAGTATATTGAATCTACTGTGTGGCATTGCAGTGGCAGCAGTTGTGTCCTTATGTGTATATTTTAAATAAAGAATTTGTGTGCTCTAGAGGGCATTTTATATTGCTAAACCATGTTAAAACCCATAGGGGTACCTTTCATGGAACCAGGCCAGGTGATTTCAGTGTCTATTTAAAGCATTTGTTATTAGTTTAGTCTTTCTGTCATCCTCTTTTTCTGGATTTGTTTGTCAACATTTGTATTCTTGTTTGAATGAAATGAAACTGCCCTATTGATGACTGCTCTTTCATATACAGAGCAGCTCTAACATAAAAGTGTGGTTATTTCTCTGGTTGCTTTACTTTAGAGAGCTTTTATAGCTACTTCAGTTACTGTGGTTGTGTGTTCTGAAATTCTGAGCTCGCTGATTGCCTGTGAATATAATTTTTTGTTTTCACTGCACTTTTTGTTGATGTGATTTAGTTGTTTTCACTGTTGACTTTTAACTTTTTGTCCATAAGTTGATT